TTGTGTGCCACTCGTTTGAACATGGTCATCGCAATTTCTTAACATGATACGCTCACATAAATTGAATGATCACCTACAACACACCAACCGCACCAAAGCTTCAGAACATCAACGGGCAAGAAAAGGGCAAAAAGAAGAGGTCCTACCCGGGATCGACTACACCATTTGTTAGACTTGCGCACTTCTTACTCAGAAAGGACGCTCTTACACTGGGCTGGTCATTATTGTCAGCACGCGCACTTCAGGATGATGAATAGGTCTACCTTACATCGCCGGAATGTTGAGAAGACTCAGAATCCGAAGTGCTAACCATTACACCATAGAACCTGATTTTTGAGACTGACTGTTGGAAATGGGGTCCTCAATCCTCTAATCAAGTCCTCGCGCGATGGATGCAGTCCCAAGTTCAAACGCCTTTGAGGTACTGTCCGAAGACCCGACTTCATCTGCAAACTCGTGGATCGATAGTGGGGTATCTCTGTCCAAGCCCTACTGCAATCACTTGCTGGGCTAGAGTAAGCAACAGAGAACCCACTGAGATAGTCAAGATAGCTTAATTGCGTTCAACCACTTGCTGAACATCCCTGACTACGGAAAAGCATCGTCTTCCTCGAGACGATGAAAATGGTATCTGCAGCAAATGCTACAAACTCCTCTACCAACGATTGCATGCCCTTCCGATAACTAATTTCATCCTCCAATATTTTACTCCACCGCCAAGACATCTTCACAGCCATACATCCCCGCGAACGGATCGTCATTCGAGCTCTTCGCTCTCACAAATTCCATTGAATTCGCGGCCTCATCAGCAAATTGCTTTCCATACGCACTCTCCAACCAAGCACACAAAACATCGATACCTGCAGTAACACCTGAACTCGTCCAGATATCTCCATCACGCACCCACCTTGCTTTGGCGATCCAGTTTGTCTTCTGAGACGAGGCAACACACATTTTCCAGAAGGCTTTATTGGTCGTTGCTCTTTTACCATCGAGGAGGCCAGCGCGGGCAGGGAGGGTGGACCCGTTACAGACGGTGATGAGATGGGGGAGGGATGGACCGATTTCTCGTAGCCAGTCTAGAAGTTCAGACGCGGGTTCCATGGCGCCGAAGCCGCCTGGGATGATCAAGACGTCGAGAGTAGGTGCCGTGGCGAAGGTGTGGGTTGGTACGACTTGTTGTCCTACTTTGTGGATGCCGGGGACTTGGGTTGAGACTGGATCGAGAGATTGAGCGATTACGGAGAGCGATATATCTTGGGATCGTGAGAGGTCGTTTAGGACTTCCATTGGACCGAAGGCGTCGAGGGCTTCGAAGCCGGGGAAGATTAGGAGGCCGAAGTTCTTGGGGGCTGCGATGTGTCAATTTCACAAACCTTTTCGTCAAGTTTCTGTTCGTAGCGGTGTGGAGATGATGATTTTGGGTGGTACAGTCACTAGACAAAAAAACAGACTAAGAACGAAAGAGAGTCATACAATCACTGCAAAACAGAAGATTATGGACGTGACGTACGGTTCTGAAGAGCTGCCATGATCGCGGTATCTAAGTTTTCTGATTGAAGTTGATCAAAGAAATTCTGAAGTGACATCTCCACCAAGAGGCCGAGAACTGTTTCTCTTTATACTCGGCACGACTCTCGCGCACATTCGTCTTGGTACTAAATGCCTAGCAAGCCAGTCCAACTCATGGCGTCCCATAACGCGAGTTGGGGCTAGAAGCGAAACGCAGCCTTGTGTAGCCATTTGAAAAAGCTCGCGGTTTGAGTTGCCTTCCGAGGGGCATTCTCGCTTATTGTTGCCCTCCTATTGTTTGAGGAAGTTGGCGTGATCACGATGGTAGCAGGAGAGAGGGAGAGGGAGAGGGGTCTGTGATGGTGGTAAGCTGGTTTTGGTCATGGATTACTGTTGTGCTTGGAAGATGTTGCTGGTTGCTGAGGTGAGGTGAGGCTGGTGGAACGGATGCAGGCTTTTCTCGAGAATGGTGGTGAATACGACTCCTTGACTCCGGTTATTGGGTTTATTCGCGAATGAACTATGCGGTATGGCTTAGCTGAGGTCGAGCTTGATCTGGAAGGCAATTTTCATCTCTGGAGCAGGCGAGTCTCGCCGTAGATGAGAATTTCTCGAGCGTCTATGGTAGGTATCTGGAAGGGGGATGGGGCGGGGTGGAAAAATTACGGTAAGATTACCGTGTTGGTGCTTATGTCATTCACAAGGACTGTTTTTGTCGGCATTCTCCCAGGTCAGTTTCTTTCCTTGGGACCTACACCACATCCGTGGATCCATGCGAAACTCGACATTGCCGGTAGTCTCTCATTTCTCACGTCCATATTCCTCTCAAGCGATTATGTCCCGCGGAGATCAGGATGAAATCCAATACGTCGCACGGCGCAGAGCTGCAACCTTCAGATTCGTCGAATATGTTCACAATGGCGAGATGTCTACGACCCATGTTGTTGAAGCAACTCAAATTAGCACCGTAAATGACGGCGAAAGGACGCGTAGGAGTTTGTAAGGCTACGTTGCTGCGATTCCCTGGACTGCCTGAAGAGCAATGTGCTGTGGATAAACAGGAAAAGAAAGAGAGAAAGTGGCTTCAGCAATGATGGGGCCGACATGTATCCTCACCAAATTCATCTCGAACACCCATTAAAGCGGACAGGATCGAAAAAATAGCACCGAAGTTACAGATCTAAGTCGGGTCTCTGATGCTAATTTCTATATATGGAGTTTGGGATGTGGATAAAATAGTAAGAAACTCTTTCCGGGAAGGCACAGATGGTTGAAGGGCGAGTAGTTCTTCTCTGCGAGATATTGCATCCGTATTTGCATTGCGATTGCACACACCGGCTCACTGAGTGATATATGAATCACCAGCTCACATACTCTGCTTTCGACAGCATCTACACTCCTAATGCACTCTTTCTGCGCAGGCCAACAGCAAAAAGCTTCTCTCAAGTGCCCAGATTTCGTTTACCACCGATGTACCGATTGCTCATTTCAAGGGACAAGACTTCTGCAATTATCAAGATCTTGAATCACTGGTCGCCCGTACAATATGGACACCAGCTACCTCTCAACCTTACTCCATATTGAAATCAACAACAATTCTACCAGCCACCTTTCCATTCTTCAGCGCTTGACACGACTCATCGAATTTCGACAGACCAACAATAGTCGGCTTCAACCTTAGCTTGCCTCTCTTCGCAAAACCAAGAGTCTCATCCACATCCGCCATGCTCGAGACGAGAGTTCCTCGGATAGTCTGGTTGCGGAAAATGACTTGTGCCGGCGCGACGGTCATCTAAACCTCTGTCAGTCTTTTCTCCAAATTTCAGGGGCTTGTATATGGTCGAACTCACATTATTCGTCCCAGCGGAAGGCAGCCCAATACACATAACCGTCCCACCCACTCTCATTCCCAGATAAGTAAGCGCAGCTGGATAACTCTGCGGCGCTGTGACAAAAACACCATGCGCACCAATCCCATCCGTCAACTCCACAATCTCCTTCGCAACATCCGCGGACGTTTTGAAGTCCACAAAATGCTCGGCTCCCAGCTCTTTGACCAGTTTTTCACGCTCGCTGCCTGTATCGACAACGATGGGGCGGTATCCCATGGCTTCTGCGAGCTGGACACCTTGGATACCGACACCTCCTCCGCCGCCAGGGAAGACGGCCCAGTTTCCCGGGCGGAGACCGGAAGCTTTCAAAGAGGTGTAGATTGTGCTTGCTGAACACATGATAGGTCCAGCTACGTAGTCTGAGACACCATCGGGGATGATTGTCGTGTATCTCTCGGGAGACTTGACATATTGTTTATACGTGCCTGTTCTTCATCAGCCTGATTCATCTTCATGCTCACATTCCAATATCTCAAACTACTCGCTCCAATTCTTAGCAAATTTTGAATCGGACTCACCATCAACGTGTAACCCCGTCATCACAGCCCCAGAACAGTAACACTCCTTGCCCGTCCTGCACAGCTCACAAGTCCCACACGTATCAGCAATCGGTTTGAACCCAGCCCTCTGTCCCACCTTCAGCGACTTCACATTGGCACCGATCTTAACAATGACTCCAGCGCCCTCGTGACCGGCACAGCGCGTCCCATAATCGGACATTTTGCCAATACCCCAATCGGCAAGCATAAAATGGAGGTCCGAGTGGCACAACCCGGTGCAGTTCAGTTTGATGAGAACGTCTTCGGGACCTAGTTTCTGTTAGTGAAGGGCTTCTCTGGGATGGAGTTCGTTTGGAAAAGCATACCGATTTCTGGGACGTCGACTTCCTGGACTTCGACGTGGAAGTCTGGGCCTTCATTTACGACGACGCCTGCTTTACATTTTTTGGGGATGTCGTAGGTTGTTGTGCCGTTGGAGTCAGCCATTTTGTCTTGGATTAGAGCAGTAGAATCAATTTCTTTCTTTGAAGTAGTGAAGTTTTAAAGATATGTCAACGTGAAGATATCAATCAATGCCACCAAATAAAAAGTGAATCGGAAAAAGTGACAAGGAACCATCCTACGGATTCCCTCCAGCCTTTATCCCCATCACCACTTCAAGTCAAATGTTCCGTCTTGCCGACGCCCCTCTCCATGGCACGACTACCTCCATACACGCGGCCGTCGTAGCCAACGAGGAGTATAATGATGATGATCCTGGGAGACGAAGGAGACGCGGGGTACACAATCATACCCCACAAACTAGGGACCTGGAAAACGACACACGCGAAGTTCAACGGCCCGATTTCACGTCCCGTGGCCTTCTACGAATCGAGGATGCTGACTCGCTTGTTAGGCTTATTGTTTGAGCCACGGTTCTTTTTTCAGGTTGTTTTGTTCAGTTGTGGAGTCGGGAATCGGTGACTTGGCTGATACCTACCTCTCTGCTAGGTCTACAGAGGAGGGATGCCTGGCCGAGCGAAAGATCTTTTGATCTTAGGCCAAGCGTCCAAGTAGTTATCGGCGCCAAAAACATGGGAACAAAAGAGGAAAAATTAGGACCGAAGGCGGTTTGAACGCCTGACTTCAGGATGTTTGCGCTCGCGCACTGCAATCCCGCACTCTACCACTGAGTTACCGGTCCTAGTTGGGAGCTCTATTCCAAAATTGTAATATATATTTGTGAAGCATGCATGCTCACTTCTTTGTCAGCACGCATTTTCGAACATGTTTAGTAAGATTAACTTCCATCACTCAAATCATAAACGGCCAACTGCGAGCAAACAAATACGAGGTGATCAGTCTCATTTCATATCTAAGTAGCAGTTCGAACCATAACCAAAAAAGCACTTCTACGAACAATAAACGAATGACTGTAGAATCCTGCCTCCTCCAAATGCACCAGCTCCCGTCCCCGTATCAACATCACCAAAGTCCATGCATCGTCGAAGAATCAAGTACACTTGAGCGAGCTGATCTTATCATTCATATTGGCAGGGATAAGGGGATTACGTCCTGTGGCCTTGAAAGAGGTGCCTCCACATTTTCCATCCCTAGGAAGGTGTCAGCCACTCTTTCTTTCCCAGTCTTGAAGAGGTGAAGGAACATACCTCCAGAATGTGCAGGTCGCACCAAAGGTATCGAGGGAGCTGATTTTATCATTGCGCGCGGCTGGCACATTCCCTGTTCCCTTGATCAGCCGAGTCGTTAGTGGACTTGACGAAGAGGTACTGACAGCAAGCGTTGTTGGGGACATTGTATGTACCGCAGGTACCGCCAAAGTTTGCATCGGTGCAGAAGTTGATGCTGATAGCTTGCGCGAAGGCAGCTAGAGAGCCGAAGAGGAGGATTGCGGCCTTCATGTTGGTGCTTGGTATTTTGGTTGAAATGTGAAATTGAAAAAAGGCTGTCAACAGGATCTGGTGCTTGTAGAGAGAGATGGGAAGTGATACATTCGCGCGGCTTTATACCAATAGGCTGGCTTGATAGAAGAAGTTCGCGAATGTCAGCAAAGAGATGAACATATAATACTGTGATACCATTGTCAGCGCTGTTCAAATTCGTGGTACCATAGTCCAAAGCTAAAGATGATCGCTTCGACGGATTGGTGAAAGTTCTGAAGAACTGTGATGTCACAAGAGGTATCGCAATCTCTTAGATCATTGTTAGCACCACCCACTTTTCCTAGAAGTGTACCCTCTCAGCTCAAGCCGGTCGTCTTCCAGACGAAACCCCTACCATGGGTAGCCTGCAAGGAACGTGTTTCGACGGATTGTTCAGATCGGCAAGTAACACAGATCCTTCTTGTACAAAGCTCAGCATCAGACGGCGATTATCGTTACACGACCCAAATACGAAGTGAATACGCGTATAGAGTTCGCACTGGCCTTTTCAACGTCCAGTGTATTTCCATGCTCTTTCAAGAGTATGGTAATGCTGGACCAATTAGCTCGGCTTTCCTTGACCACGAGATAGTCGAGGGATGCTTAATCATTTCTGTTGCTATCATTGTCGTAGAGGCCGATGAATTTTTCCGACGGTAGACTGAAGTTTTGTCGAATCAAAGTATTCCTTCGAAGATCAGAGAGTGAAGAGTGAAGCCATGGGCAATGTACTAGTCCGCTATTTCTGCTCGAGCTCGCAATTCCATCCTGTTAGGGCTTTGGTTACTTGGATTCAGGAAGAGATGGAAACCGCTTGACTAGTTGGCAGGATTGGTCCACGGCCGGGAAGCAGTTGATGGCATGAGCAAGATGGGCTAGGTAGATGTTCTCCTATGCCATTTGGAATGTTGGAAAGGAAAAAACGTGTGAAATGATTGAGGGGTTGAGACCTTCTAAATCGCAGCCGTTGTGACCATCATATCATCGACGATGTACATCACGATCATTATGTCGAAAACGGGCTAAAAAGGGGTTGCCACAATCGATGTTTTTGGCGGTGTAAAGCTCTTTCTCAAAATGCAATTTGCACCAAGTTTCGATTACTGGACATGTACGTGGTCGGTGAAGGCGAGCCTTTTCAGCACTCTTCAGGCGGCTAATCACCAGCTTGGAGGGCATGTGATTGCGTGGTGGATCAGCGTAGCAATCGCACTGTTGGCGCTTGTCTCCCTTCGCCTCAATACAGCAGCAGATATTTTGACCAATCTTCTAGGCATCGCACTTCTAATGACGCTAGCAATGCGTGTACGATTGCTATGGCGATCTCGCTTTGCCCTTATCAGTGTATTCGCTCTTGGGATGTTCATTGTTCTGTTCCCGGGCGTCCACATCATCGTCACCAACACGAACAACACGCTACCAGAATTGTCCTGGCTAGCACTGTGATCCCTCTGATAAGTGAGTGTGGCATGCATCGTATGCAACCTTGCGCCGTTCAAAGTGCTGTTCAAGGGACGGATGAAAAAATATTAGAGCGATCCGCACGATCGTAAAGATCGTCAATGGGTCAAGGATGGAAAATGCATTGACAGTCTGGGGCTGCTAGACTTGAGCAGGTCAGCGCGATGCAGCTATCCGTCCCATCGTGCGTTACACTCACCAATACACCAACAAAGGCAGCCGAACGATGACCAAGAATGCAAACCGGCGTATGTTCGGATGGTATTCGAGGAGATAACAGTACTAAGATCAGGAACCGGGCGATAGTGGTGATCTGAGAAGTTGCTGGGAAGGAAGTTCCGGCTGATCAAGTTACTTTGCCTGGAGATGAGGGGATGTGAAAGATGTGGAAGAGCCGAGAGATTACGGATTCGAACAAAATGATCCTGTCGCCCGAGGGTGGATAGTGGCCGAGAGAGTATTGACTGGATATAATGATTCTGCTGCCGAGGGTGAATAGTGGAAGTTATGGGCTAGCTTATCAGATCTGTAACTTCCCTTCCCTATAAAAAGGCGTGAGAGTAAGCGAGACCCTGCCACGTAACGGTGGCATTGGTCGCCGGGTAATTTAGGGACATTCTTGTTGTAGTAGAGTCCTTTGTTGTTGGAGTATTTACGTGGTGGCTGAGAGTTGGAGATCGGAGGGCCCCTGGGAAGTGGGCGGCCTCAGTCAAAGTCAGTGCCCTGTCCAATATTCAAATCAACTCTACCACGACCAATTGAAGCTCTTGCCGCTTCGCCTCCCACCTATGTATATGACCTTGCGGAGTGCTATTCGGCCATTATATCGAATCAGACAACAGCTCCCTCTCCGAAGCTTCTGTACCAGCATTATACACAAAAGCGCTTCACTAAAGAACGCTTCACATTCCTCAACCTCCTTCTTCACTTCGAACACTCCCGACGCGCCGTCAGGTGGGCCTAACGAGGAGGTGAAGGAACCCGGGAAAGAGAAAGAGAACGTAGACCAGGACACCAATGGAGTCGTCTCGGAATCGGCGCCGAGCACATCCAATGAAGTCGACTCCAAGACCAGCGAGGTCAGTGAGGCGACGGACTTGCCGTCGCTACCTAAGGGCGGACGTATCACACCTTCGCGGCTGAGAAGTTTGAGGGCTCAAAGGGCACGGAAACAGGCGACAAGATACACAGCTAAAACTGGACTGGAACTTCCCGACTGGTTTGCTCAGAAATGTGTCAAACCATGGGATCCAAACGATGCAACGAGTCCCATTCTCCATAACCCTTGGATAGACCGGACTCCTAATACTGAATCACTACCGGCCTGGTACAATGAAAGGACACTGTTCAATGCTGGGGGAAATATGGGGCATATCTCAGGGTCGTCCAAGGGAGTCGCCTTCCTTACCCTGGATCACTATTTAGAGATTGCTGCCATTACGGCGGCAAGCTTTGCGACCGCATCCAGTGCTGGCAGAAACACGTTTTGGGGCTTGAAGGCGAATTTAGCCTTGTACTGCGATTTTGACGGTGGTAATGCATGGCTAAATTCTATTGTGGACCAAGTTGCGAAGGACCAGAAGGCGGACATCCTCCGTCTTGATGCACAGGATATAATGGAGATTGGTGGAGCGTATGTCAGTCCAAATGCAAAGGATTTCCTGTCTCTACGCACTCTGGGATTCGACGCATTCCAACCTTCTCGCGAGGATCAGGAAGATGAGATGGAGGAGGATGAAGACCAAGATGACGAGGATCTCGGCTCTTCTTCATCGGAGGCCTTGGGGTTTGACGGGCCCAGTACGAGGGAAGAGCTACAGAAGGCTAAGGAAGCACTGAAGCAGCTCAATGGCAGGTTCTGGGAGGGTGGCTCAAAGTCAACGAGGCGTCTGGATACAAAGCAGACTTCAGAAGATGATTTGGATTTATCCACGCACGCTGCCATGGATGACAGGCGGGTGACTGCTTTCTGGAACACACTCATCGACGGCGCCCGAGCTCAAATAAAGATACAAGGTCATCGTCATTCTTCGGAGCAAAAATTGATGATTTGCATTCAAGATTTCATGGACATTTCTAACGCTCCTGTTGGGGAAATACTGCTCAACAATTTAGTGGAAAATATCGAGCGCCGCAGAGGTCACAGAGGCGAGAAGATCATGATCATGGGGACAACCTCTTCGTCCACATTTTCTGACGATAAGGATGCCCAAACGGAGCTAGATAACGAAAGTCAGGGCTCTTTCTACAGAACAGTGCTCATCACCAACGATCCCGTTCAAAAGCTGCCCCCAAGCCCTTGGAGAACGTGGGAGGAATTTTGGAACTACGAAAAAAGACAAAGGACCGCCGCTATAAACTTGAGAAATATACAGTGGATACTCAACCAGATTCAGCCTGAGTCTCATCGCCAAAGCATGTCGAATGATATCGATCCATCTCAATTGGCGAAGCAATCAAGCTTAAAGGAGGACTATGAGCATTATGAGGAACACACTCTGTTCGACCAAGTTTTGAAGCAGGAGGATGCCCAGCGTATCGCTTTGACTGTCATTGGCTTCCGGGAATCGGGGCTATTTAGCAATCACCTCCCCGGGGTAAAAGCAGTTCAGCCCTCACTTTCTACCCTACTTAGAGCTGCAATCGGGACTATTCAGGCTGCGGATAAGAGGCGACCTGGCAACGACGGCTCGGTACACGAGGCACAACCTTCTCTGCCGCCGAGCAGCTTGTCTTTGGGCCCAAAGCCCTGGGCTAAAAGGGAAAAGCAGTCAATAGGAGAGACTAATGAGAGTACCAA